AGTGGTTTTACATCAAATAAGCAAGCTTTTAGCGTCATAAATGTTTGCTACGTAAATTAAAGCCTAAGTTTATTAGTACGCAATGATGTGGCGTAATAAATCTATAATGTTAGTTTTGCAAGTGGCCAGTGACATTTGATTCTCATAATAACGGTAATTGAATTATTACGATTGCTTTAACATACGTTACAATAATTGCGATCATGTGATGGGTGCCAATGCAATGCTTTGGTAATTTAAGTTAATCTAAGATAACATAACATTTATTATAAACGAAACACACACATAGAAACACACAAAATAATAATAATAATAACAAAAAAATATGGAAGTAAATAAATGGAATAAGATACATTTTAAGTGTGTAATGTGTGTGTGTTGTGGCAGTAACTGGTCCTGGCTCAGCATTATTATGCTATGGAGCGGACGTGTTCCACAGCGCTGGTCATTCTGCCAGAGACCACAACAGTTAGTTTGCGTCTCAGACAAAAAAAAAAGAAAAATAATAATAGTAAAAAATAACAGTGTAAGTAAAGAAGTCTTAGAACATTTGTGTGTAAAAATAAGAATAATTGTATCTAAAACTACTACATGAAATAGATAAATAAATATTTTTGGGCGGATTAAAAACTAGATTTGCGACGAAAATTTGATTTTAGTTGAAGATTTTTCTGCGGAGGAGGGATATTATTCCATTCCATTCCAACATTAGATTAATCTATGTTGTGTCTATATTATAATTGATGTTACTATTATATACTACGGACAGATAGATTAAACGATTTACTATAAAATATATTTTTTACGATTTATGATTAAATAAATTCGTATTTTGACCTTTAGTACTTTTTATACATACATATAACAGGGGGCAAAAGGTCCTCACGAGGATAATTTTATGTTAAGTGATACGACCTCCCAAGTTTTACCAATAGGTACGGTCTTTTCTTGAAAGACCTTAAGTCGAATTGATTCGGAAATACATATGTGGCCAGCTAGTTCCACATAGTGGTGGTGCGGGGCAAAAGCTGCCTTAATAAACGCTCAGTTGCGGAAAGACGGACGTCGAGGTGATACGAGGTGATGAATCCCAGCAGGTATTAGGCTTGATTACATTTAACACAATACATAGTATTATGTAGTATTTATTTGGAAAACTTTAGCAGAGCTCTGAGATTGTATTTGAAACAAATCTATGCGTTCATAGTTTTAAAAATTTACACTTTCGTAACCACCTGCTGTATCTTATAGCTTCTGCTCTAAGGGTAAGATTTGGTTTTAGATTAGTGAAGTCTGAAGTAAGATTCTAGAAAGTTCAGAATCACACCTTTAGGTATTCTTTAATTCTGTTTTAATACCTGTTGTGGACTACAACAAGTAAAGTCGCGGTAGAGAGCTTGCTTATAACTGTACTTCCTACTCGTTATCGGAATAAAACGCAACATTTAAATTATAGAAACTAGGGGAAAGTAACAAGTTACAATTACAGTCCAATCTGTCTGTCTGTTTGATCGCTTAAACGCCCGTAATTTCTACGCTTTTCTAAGTATTATTGAAAAAATATTCCTGGATTAACTATTTTTGACTATAATTAAACGTGATACACCTAAAAATAATTGGCTAGCCTTGCTATTCATAGTAACACTATATATATACAGTATTTATATTGATTTTTTTAATGTAATAGGAGGCAAACGGACAGGAGGCGCACCTGATGTTAAGTGATACATTATATGGACACTCACATTGCCAAAAGTCGCAAATGCGTTGCTGGCATTTTAAGAATTTGTACGCTCTTAATTTGTTACAAAGCTCAAATAATGTCAAAAGATATTTAAGAGATTATGAATGTAAAAATGTGTCATAACATTGATTAAATTCAAGTATGTACTTAAGTTATTAAAAATATACCTATGTACATTGAACTAAAAAGAAACAAGCTACAATAATCAAATTTGTATAACAAACTATCTTAATACTTGAGTACACTAAATACGATTCGTGAACAAAAATAAACCCTAATATGAATTATACCACAAAGTTGTCCAGCATCACGGATATATAATATATGGAGAGAATCAGAGCGTTCCTTGTACTCAGCTTGTCAGTCACTTGATACGCTCTCAACTTTACCTAACCGTAATTGCGTAATGAAATCTACTTGAATGTAGTACAAATGTATTAAGTTTAAAGAAAATTTGATACCCGGAAAAGTATTGTACAATTCTTACATAAGAGTAACAATTGTATAAGTTTTTTAATGCTTAAGAAGTGCAAACATGCAAAACTATCTAATAATACGGGAACGGCGACAATTTTTTATGAACATAGTAATAGTAATTATGTTTAATTTATAGACTGGATAATCAGTGTTTAATGCCGGTAAATTGGATGGAATTAGCTTGTAACTCACGCACATGCTAAATTTTATGATATTTTAATAACATAATGCTTGTAATATAGAAAGTATACACAATTTACTTATTGATGAATGATATTATATATCGAGAATATGTATATAATAGAATGTTTGGTAATTAAATGCAAATTAAGCCGTGTGAATTACCTTTGCTAGCTGTTTGTCACGCACTAGTTTTTATAATGCATTCAGTTCAGAGGATTTTGATCAGAATAACAGGTCACTTCGCATTGACAGGTAGGACGTGTAATCAATAAGACAAATGATATAATTATAAATATTCTATTAAAGGCGCTTTTTGAAGTTATACTTCTTCAGGCGCGTTATGAAAAATTGATGAGAGTGAAATTTTACGATGCGCGCGCACCGTGACTCAAAATTAACAGAATGAAGTTGCCCACGGAAGATGCTACGGCATTGGACATAATTTAAAAACAACATGCGAATAATAATAGAGTTTATGTTACACTTAATGTAAGAGAATATAAATAAATATTTATTTATTTAATTTTTCAAATGTAAACTGAACTTTATTGACTATAATGACTCCTTTTCCAGTCTTTGATTATTTAATTGTAATTAATTATTTGCATGCAATCAAAAACTATTTTTAATATTGCCAAATAAATATAACTTCCTACGCGCGTACATAAGTACACGCACCCTTTTTTAATTTAATTAGTTTATTTAATTCCACATTTGTAAGGAAAAGAAGAAGAAATGTGTTTAGTAATTGAAGGTATCTAAGGAAAGTGTATCGCTTGACTATTTGATACATCCAGTAGGTACTTTAATTCCGCGTTGACCATCGGAGCGCTTCGGACGAGACAGACAGACATGCGGTCTGTGACAATAGCTATATTCGGTTACACGTTTGTTCTTTTGTTTGCTTTTCAATGGATATTACTTAACCCTATTGTGTATTACATAAAGCAGATTATGTGTCTGCGTGGGAAACAATCGGCTGTTTAGTACATAAAGTAGATAAATGAAAGTAAATACTAAGGGATTTTGAATGATTCTTTGAAACCGAGAAATATAACAAGGAATTCTATGTACATGTGATGAATAAAAAAGAATTAATTTCTCGAAATAAAAACATCACTAAAGCAAAACGGTGCATTCGACGAATCCCTATACAAACATCCACCGTTTACTAAACTAACAGTACACAATCTTTGAACACGCCGTTAAGCAGTTTATGGGTAATTAAACAGTTATTTTTGTCATGATTTAACCAAATGCTCTAATTTTTTTTATTATCACCAACTTTCGGCTTATATCTGTTGGTACTACGCCTGGATTCTAGACAGAATAGCACCTTCAAAATGAAAATGTATACTAAGAGTTAGGCAGTCGAGACTGCTTCTATTATATTTTCATCTGTACAAAACGTAGGAACAAATTTTAGGGAAAATCTTTAGTAAAAGTAATTCATCATGCTCAACCAACTTGGACACATGATCAGAAATGTAGTGGGTAAGGTAACAAAATGTAACAGCTGGGTGCGCTTGCGCCGGTAACTCGATCAGTCGTCACGCGGCCACCGACCGAGTCACACGAAATCAACACCGTTCAGCTGACATGTGAATGAAAGTTTAATTACATTACAAATTTAAATTTTTAACCTAGCAATTATCCTATACATGGGAGTTGATTATATGTTTTTCTACAACTTATTAGCAAGTTTATATATCTTACCATTAGGGAGTGTTCAAGTATTACGTAACAAATTTGGGGGGTCATTTTGTAAAACGTTACGATGCTACAAAACATTGCGAAAACTAAACTCACCGTTCGATCGCAGAGCAAGAAAACGATTTCAAATATTTCGCAACACTCGAGTTTTCGCTAAACAATTATTAATTCTATACAGTTAGGCTTCATTTTCCGCGATTAAAACGAGACTTCTGTTACGTTTTTTAGACCACGGTCAATTCACGCCACATCCGTAACGCATTGTCTAAACGATTGTTAAGTACAAAAAGCTACAAATCCAAGGTTTGCATTCTAAATCGCTAATGCCATACTCCCACGTAATATTTCTGCAGAAATGATTGATTTACCATCTAATATGGCGTATATTGCAATGGTAATTAAGGACGTTCGATTTTATTAGGTTATATCTGAATTGTGGAGCTCATTCGTCTTGTACGTGTTTATTGCCTATTTGCGAAACTGTTTTGTTATTTGATTTTAATCTAAGCTGTAACTTTAATGACTTAAAGGAATTTTGCTGTATTAATACATTGGCATGTATATTTTTATTTACATAGCCACAAAGGGTAAACATTTACCAATATATTTGGCAAATATTATTGTTAAAAAGAGAACTACATTGGACAGTAAAACCTATGGTGAAAAAATGGTTGACATTTAGAGCAATCATTTTTGTTACTATTAATAAAAATAGTTTAGTAAGTACTGACTTTATGCCTTCTAGATTGTAATAGTCAAAGCGTGACCGAACAATGGAGGTTATTAATTATGATAATCGTAACAATAGATTGACGAAAACAAATCAGATCGACGCTTTCACTTAGTTTACCTAAAATTACGTAATCAAAAATTTAATAAGTAATTAATTTACGATTAGTTGCGAAGCTAATTGCTGGTTTTCACTATTTTCAGACAATGCCTTGGGTGATGGAATTGTTTGTGACCTGGTATATTACATAAATTTACTTTTTAAGATATTTATGGTATAAAGAAATAACTTATAAATTGAATGTATATTTAAATAAGAAATAAATAATACTTAAATTGTATAGATATATGAGGTCTTTTACAAAATTATAAAAAATGTACTCTCATAATTTTTCCCTAACGCGCCAAAAGCGTAAATTGTAAATAGAATTGAAATATTTGCGGAAGATGTACCTAATACGATATTGTAGTCTTACGTCCTTATAAACTAAATTAGTCCGATTACACCGCTTGAACCATACCATTCATTCGTTTCTTTTTAACAAATGGTCTTTAAGCTGTGATGAAAAGAGATAGATAGGGGCCAGCATAAAGTTAGTAATAGTACTGACCGTTCCTCCAGCATCTCGTTGAATGTCTTGCCCTTGCCACGGGGCTGGTTGATCTCGTGCTCAAACCGCTTTACCTCAACGCACCGTTCGATGATGTGCTCAACTCGCTTCCGCCGTGATGACTTCCAATTGTCTAAGTTCTGGAAAAAAATAGAAAGTACGTCATAAGTCAGTGAGAAAATGTCATGACTATCCATGCTATGGGTATTATATAAATATACTTTAAAAATAAAATGTGAAGGTGTTAGTTATGTTTTACATTTAACACTATATAGTGTATTTAGGTAGAATATATTATGACCTGACCCATCCCTACCTGTGTAGTACAAATTTTAACAGCCTATTGCATTTACGTTTGAATAGGGTTTTATAGATGAATATCAATAAACTAAGACGAACATTTTCTAATAAAACAATGATATCTAGGTATTATGTCATCATAATCATGTCCGTAAACTATCAAATATATAATTTGGGAAATAACCAATATAATAATTATTAAAAAAAATCTTACAATAAAGCTCACAAAAGAGAGACTTGAATTACAATCTAGCCTATACAATAATTATGGCTAATAAGTAATATAATGATGACTTAAGTTTCTACAATACTAGTGAATAACTTAAACTAAGGTAATGTTCATTAACAGTCTAACTGTTCTATAATGTGTTGACGCTATGTTTGTGTGTCCGAGATGGTCGTTTTTAAAATAACGACAGTTTCATTATAATCTATTTTAACACGCAGATAAAATCCAGGAAACCCTACATAGAAAAACGATTACATAATGGCTCGCGGCTTAACTACGCCAATCTACGTAATAGCTTTCGATAATGGCTAAAGAAAAACCGCGGAATCTTCGCGATTCTTACAACAGATTAGTTTTTCTTTAACAATTTATGTGTAAATTGCATACTTGAATTTAATACTTCTGTTGCGAAATGAACATATTTTTTGTTGAGCGTTGCAAAGTTTTTCAGTGTCGTCAAGGTGAATTTGAATAATTTTCCTTTCTACTGTACACTGCTAATTTTGGAGGACAAACACTTGGAATAGTGTACTATTTCTGATTATTAATATTATGTTACGATTGATCCTAAAATAAAAAAAAGCATAGTAGATACTATTTCTAAGACAATCAGGTGTATAATTTTTATAGACTAACTTGAATTGTTTTGGATATATTTTTAAAGTGACTTGACAAGTTACAACCGTCTCTGTTGAATCATTAGCACGGGAAATGGTTTACTTCATTCGCGTTCCTTCTGGTCCTGCGTTTGAACCCTGTTGTGCACTAATTGATTTTACTTATTTATTCATTCACAAAACATACATACACACCTCACAATACTAAACCAATATGTTGAAAAATAAAACAAAAGAAATGAAACAATAAAATATATAATGTTAAATACATAAGATACACTATCGCTACTGAGAACTCACTCAGCGAACATACTCGTATAAAGGTGTCGGAGACAGCATTCACTAATAAGTTTCATTTCATTTCATTCTTTCAGTTTTCATTTCATGTGCGCAATTAAATTGCCTCCTGTCCCTTTGGGTGTTTACGGGATACGATACAGTTAAATAAAATCAGGGCTTTTTCAAATTAAGCAATTTCATAGAACCTTCCTAACCTAGGCTTTCTAACAGCTTTCCATGCTAAGCATCATCATTTATGCTAATGCATATGTTGAATTTAATGTTCTTTCACTTCGATATGAGTGGAGATGGTAATTTAAACGTTAACCTTAATTAAATAATTTTATGTTCAGGATAGTGGGATCAATGTTGTGGATTGTACATATTTTCTGTGATGAAGACTACTTGATGGGTTTCAAATAATGATTTATTGTAAATTTATTATTAAAAATACTGATTGAATTCTAGCGTGTGTAGCGCTGAGAATTAGACGTAATATTGAGAATTTCTTTGAAAAATTAGGATTTGATTAAATATACGCAGTACTTTTAGTCACAAAATATTATATTTCTTAAAATTTTAGTGATATTAAGTTGAATGATAATAGTTTGAAGTGACAATGTAACATGTTGACAGTTTAAAAGTAATAATAAAAAAGTAAATAATAAGTAAACTCGATCCTATAAAATAATTGTAACTTCTGAAAAGCCAATTACGCTCGAGATTTAATCCAAACATTAAAGTATTTTAACGACATGAAAAACTAAGGTATCAAGCATGCGATGATTGGCGGAAATGCCGTCTGTAAGCGCCCGCGCCGAACTATGTGTTTCCGGTTCATATATCGTAATGCTTTTACAACCTTGGGGCTTTAAAAATAGAATACATTACACGTTTTTGTAAGAATTTTGCTATTTATCGTTATTGGTGCATGACATGCTTGTTCAATATTCAAAAGACTGGTTGTAATTGTAGTGCACTTTTAATAGGATAAATCAAAATTTAAATTTCATTATGAAGGACTAGAGGCTAAATGTGTTTGAAATAGTTTAGTAAATAATTATGTATTTATTTAATCTATATATATGCTAAAGCTATGTTTTTAATTTAGTTAAGATATGCCCAAAATAAATATTCTATACGAATTGTAATATGATCTCCAAACGCGTTTTTTTAAAGGAAATAAGCAAGTCGAATGGATTTTTAAGATCTACTACACCTAAAAACGCACACTTATACACCCCGCACATTGCACATTCCCACACACACCTTAACAAGTAAATAATTACAATGTCTTAGTACATGTTCGTAGTTTATACGAGTATGGTGTAATCAGTTTTGACTATATTTTTCATTTAAATTGTAAATATTATATTTTTGAAGTTATACTTCTTTAGGCGCGTTATGAAAAATTTATGAGAGTGAAATTTTACGATGCGCGCGCACCTGTAACACAAAATTGGGAGTGTGATTATAGCGTGCGCGAGCGAGATAGGAATAAGACAATCTACAAGTAAAAAGAAATAGAATATGCGTGAAGTTCGTATGCCAAGAATTTTGAATGACCATAATGACATTTGTCATTTACCTTTTAAACAAATAAAGGAGTTTTGATTAATTTTTCAAAGAAATTTATTAATTTTATATTGTGCAATACTGCCAAAGCTACAACATACTTCTTAGTGTTTGGTAGAGATGTTCTAAATATATAATTATATATACTTTTAACTAAATAGAATTTATGTTACACTTAATGTAAGAGAATAATAATAAATAATTATTTATTTAATTTTTCAAATGTAAACTGAACTTAATTGACTATAATGACCCCTTTTCCAGTCTTTGATTATTTAATTGTAATTAATTATTATTTGCATGCAATCAAAAACTATTTTTAATAATGCCAAAGAAGTATAACTTCTTACGCGCGTACATAAGTACACGCACCCTTTTTTTTTTAAAGCTGTGGATAATATCAATAAAATGTAAGATAAACAATTATCAAGATATCAAATCGAACATCTGGGAAGCATTTTATCAATTTAATTCAGGAAATGCTTCAGATTTCCTACATAAGATTTCCAAACATTAAGTTAATGATTCGGTAAATACTTAATTGCGTATTTTGTATGACGACATTCTCCGAATGCAACTCGTATGAATTGGAGGAATTTCCCGGAAGTGTGACATTTAGTTGTTTTTCAAGGACATTTCGATGGACTTTAACTGTATGTTATTAAAAGGCAATTATGAGTAAAGATAGCGACTTTGTTTAAAATTACATATTTTACTTTTATTTCATTCTTGATGGCCTTTAAAAATTCTGTGCAACAAACGAATTTAAGTATGTACCGCGACTGTTAATAGTAAATTATATTAATAACTAATTTAATATCTTAAGGAAAGATTTTGGATTTTATATTTATTATTATTAGTTGTGGTTGTTTTTGTCATAGAATAGCGAGATGTGTTTTTTCTTCCACTCAATGAGCATGTAATTGGCGTTTGAGGTATAGGTATTTTTACCCTTATTCTGTGGACTCAAGAACATTTCTTTGTACCTATGTCCTTATATCTTTTACGGCAGTAAAAGAATGAACGTGGCGTGTACGTAGTTAAATATTGGTTTTTACGTATTCCTGATTTCTTAGTCCGTTAATAATAATAACAATTGATTCCAGTAAGATAATAGACCAATTTTAAGTAGTTTTAATAAGTACAACTTAAAGACTTATTTTAGTACCAACATCAACAAATAAAAATAAATTTAAAAAATAAATAGGCTACGCGTAAAGCACTTACCGACTGCCACTCCTCCTGCCGTTCTATCCGGGCGGGTTCTGTTCGCTTTGCGAGCTCAGCTCTTCTCAACTGCTCCCGGGCCCTGGTGCCCAAATCTGCGGGCCCAACCTTGATAAATTGCAGTGGGTTGCCAGCAGGCTTGCCGGGGATCACGGCGGCTGTGTGTGGGCGAGTTGCGAGGAAATCCGCACTGTCTGATGTCTGTAATTAAAAAGAAATGGTCAATTAATGATACTATTACCATTTCTTATACTATGTCTAAGCAAAATCTTTATAGGACTTTAAGAATGAAATATATATATTTTTTTAAATTTGATGTGTCTGTTTTAAGTGCAACTGCGTGCGTGAAACAAAAGACGAAAGATGGTGCGTTTCGATTAATTGCAATTGGTCAGCAGGTCTGCAAACGAACAGTCACTTAGTAAGAAGTCCTTACCGTCGCCCATGGACAATTGCAACGCCAAGAGGCTTAAGTGTTGCCTTTTAGGGAATAATACGCTCTTTTATTGAAGGTTCCACTAAGGTTATCTAACTGTTGATAATTATACCTCAATTTAATTAGAATTAAAAGATTATAAAGCGATAAAATTGGATAGCAACATCCTAATGCATTAATACCATAAATAAAGCGGATGTTGAACAGTTACGAATGATTTTAATTACTTGAAAACTTGATTTGAATGGCGCTTTAGTGCGATATTTTATTAACATAATTAAGTCTTAAAAAACACGTTGTGTAAAAATTTGTATGTGCTATCTATTTATGGCGTGTTTGGCGATATTATGTTCTGCATTGACAGTATTTGGGATGTTTATTTTCTTAGGATAACATGTTGACTGAGGTAGTTAATAAACGGTGTGTTTAACATTCTGGGTATAAGTTATTTATTTGTGAATATAAATAATTTGTTTCCCACACACAAATGTACAGTATATATAATATTTTTAACCTACATAATAATAATTAAAAATGGAAAAATAGAAAAATAAAACAAATTTTAAAAAATGCTCCAAGTTTACAGTGTCCAATTTGGTCATTAAGGCTGGCAGCATTTCTTGCTGTATTGCGATACTTAATCGTTAAACGAGGAAAGCACCAGCTCTGGGGTCATGAAAATTGCGTGAACGCGCCCTTGGTAGATTAGTCCAATCATTCTCCTAGCACCCTTTGTTTCAGTTAATTTTAAGATTCAATTTAGGATTAAAAATAAATCCACTGGTTTTGATTTTATATAAATAACCCATAATCAGATGAATTCATGTTTGCATCTGTGATTATTCACTCACTGCCTTTCAAAGTTTTTAACGTACGTTGTGAACGGAAGGTGTGATCTGTTAATTAAATTAATTTCTAAGAGATATCAGGAAACACTAGTAAAGTTAAAATATGCGTAGTTAGTCCCATGGGATTCGAATTCCGTTAATCTTTAAATAGCAATGAAACTTTTAAAGTATTCTTGTGTAACTATTATTTAGATACAAGTTAATTTGAGAAGAAAAGTTTCTTATGCTTTAGATGATTTTATCTTAATATCATAATAATATAATAAAATTGAAAGAAATAATAAACGTACAAACAAATTATCGCATTCAACTGTCATAATAACAAAGTACATTGTCGAAATCTCCATATGCCACAAAACACTTTCTTCAAACATAATTGGTATATTATGTGCAGGATTCAATATCGGCGCGCGCGCAACTTTCACTGTCAATGTGAATTACTACGGCCACGCCCTCTCACGAACAATTTAGCACCTATTATGTGTAAAAAACTAAATTTCATAATGTTTTAGACCTCGTTTATAAAACGGTGTGATCGTGCGCCAACTTAATAAACTCAAAGCATATTACAACTGTTCACTTAGTAAGTTCTAGTATTATACGTACATAATCTAAAATAAATTAGAATTAAAAATATATCATGTGATTTTGACCGCAAAAATCATAAAATTTCTATTTATTAACTTTCCATCATTCAATAGCTTTAAAAAGTTGTGCAGTTTCATGTTTCTTCATTTTTCTTATTTGCTTTATTTTAGTGGGTAATTGTGTTTATTAAGTTTATTTCGATTTCTATAATTTAGTCCTAACCCTGTTTATTGATACATATTTGTAACACAATTTTTAAAAGCGATAACAAAGGGGTAATTATTGACAGGTTTTAAAATACCGCTGTCTTCTATAAACGATTTATATATGGGAGGAGATAAGATAAATGAGCAAAACATACCTTAGTAAAAACGTAAGTTTAAAATGGCAGCTGCTGGTTAAATTTAACCGGCAATGCGTTGGCCGTTCTAAATGTTCGGTATGCAGTTTATATTTAGAGTAGACTTAGTTAACTGTTCACTCCTGTCAGTCACACGGGCTTGTTTTAGAACTCGATCGAATGTGACGCATCTGTAGTAACCTAATTCGTAAGTGGAGATGAGATTTTGAAATGATGTAAGGTGAAAAAACACGTGTTTTCAATTACGAATTCTAAAAAATTTTGCAATTGTTAATTACAAAATGTTGAAGAAATTATTTATAATTTTTTATGTATTTTGTTATTAATACATTAAATATGGAATTAATCACGTTTAAATACGTAGATCGAATGTCACCTTTTAAATTTTATAGGTAGAATCAGTATATGTATTAGAAAAGAATTCAATCTCTGATTAATTAAAACCTAGGTGTTTCAATTTCAAGCCATTTACAATAATTTATATAAACTAGAAAATCTACTTTTCACGACATTCTTACCGCCTTATTTTCTAATATATCGAAACGGTTTACCACAACGTAAAACTATTGTTTGATATAATTTTGTAACTTAACGCGCGCGTTCTCAGCGTGAACAGAGGCAAGCCACTGACTTTCCCGCTTTTCCACCAGCCGGGAAAGTTATCGACTAATTGCCTTGAGGCAACTTGAATAAAAAGTAAGATTGTTTTATTATTGATTAATGATAATTTATGTACGGCAAAAGTGTAGCGGATACATTTTATAAGCTGTTTTCGCAGAAACAAAATTCATATAATCTTTTGTTCTGTTTACAATATTAATTTATGTTAATATTACAATTTCAACATTTATGTATGCTACAAACATTTATAATGGCATAATAATTACATATATTAAAGTAGGATTTTACTATCAATTACTTTTCCAGCATTTTCCCTCGCGTGTCCGATATCTACAAATCTACGTATCATTTTCCGCTTCGAAGCAAATAATTCAATTCTCATTGACTTAGATAATGATCCAGGTGGATTTATGCAATTTTTTGTGACATCTTCATTCGCAGAAACTGCAATTGCCCGTTAACGGTAATACATTGCAAACCTTATAAACCAGCCATTACTTTTCACGTCGTTCGACTGCACGCTTTTAGAATACGAATGTCATAAGAATTAGGGTATTGTTTCTATACGTACATACATTGTTTATAATGAAATATGAACATTAAGTATAAAAAATACCGTGGGCATGAAATTGCTTTATCGTAGAATAAATTAAGTACCTATAATATTCTGTATTTTTCCGTAATTTTGTTTTAACGATTGTGGACTATTTGTAAAATAAAAACAAACATTGTAAATAAAAAAAAACAATTTGTTATGAAATTAACTATTAAGTTTGTCATTGAAGAGCTGGGAACCCTGATACAGCTGTTATTTATAACTTAAAAATTTTACACACAGTAGTGCATTGTTATAATGAATAAACACATTTTTTTATAATTTGTAGCGACAATCTTACCGCATATAAACAAAAAAGCTAAAAATCAATGTACCTTAAACATGGCTTATAAAATCGCCGTAATGTTGCATAGGTTTATATAGTGATAATAAAATGCGATATATTTTAGTCTAATATACAGACGATAACTTAAATACTACGTAACTAACACTTAGGCACGCTGTTTCGTTGGTAATAACGGCGAACCGTGAGAGAATCGCAATTTCTTATTAATTGCGAAGATAATTAGAGGTTTCGTGATTTTGAATAATTAGTACCAGTGTTTCACCAGTTTTCGATGTTATGCAATTGTGCACTGGTGCAAGATTGCACATTTCCGCAACTTTTTGGTAAAAATGCAATGAGACTTAATTATAGTTGATAATACAGAAGTGCAGTGAATATAAAAATGTTAATTTATTGTCTTACGTTCTCAAAGGAATTTAGTGTAGACATATTTTAAGTTACATATTAGATTTACAAAGAAATCAGATATGTAAAACGTCTATAGGCATGACAGTATAGTTCTTACGAGTTTCATTTGTATATAACGTTAATGTCATAAACAATTATTCATTCTTTTTGGATTACTATAGGAATGCTAATAAATTAGTTCATTTTGCGCGTTTTAATTGACAAATGACGATCGCATTCAACTTAAAGCGTAGCAATCTTCGTAGTCCTAGAGGGTACCTATATTTTTATTCAATAAATTTGGAACCTACCCAACACAATGCTAAGAGTACCACCTTCTAAGGATGAGATTAAGAAACTAGACAACTTCAAGCGCTGTAATGTGTTTTTAATTCCTGTGTGTTTTTTCTCTCCTGGTATTTTCTTGGTTACCTACTAAGTTTAGATTTTTTTGATTTGTATTATAATTTTCGCATTCTTGCGATATTTTACATTATCTTACATTTTTAACACGGTTGACTGGAAGAGATCGCTTAGTAACGATGGCCTGTTGCACCATTTACTTCTTTTAACTAATTCTTCTATGTGCAATAAAGTGAAAAGAACATCCAAAAAATAGAAAATTCAAGTAAAATTCCCGAAGATTGCCTTAAATTTTCTTACAGTACTCGTTACATACCTGACGAATGCCACCTGCGACACCTAACACGTAAGAACACCAACTGCAACGGTACAGCCTCATACAAGGCTCATACAAGTTACCGCACCATGCTTTCACAAAAGACGTGACTATGTTTAGCAATTTTATATACGCAGCCAGACTTAAGATTATATTGTTATGTCATAGTGTGATTGTAATATTAAATGAGACCTAGATTTGTTTAGTTCGATTAGGTCGGATAAATTTTTCAACTCTAAGGCGATGAAGAACTATTTTTAAACATATTTCGTTCGAGGAATATAAATTTTAAGATTGTGAAGAATGTTTCGTTATAAAAGCCTTTTAGGAAGATGTTATATTATAGTTATGGAGTTAAATAAGGATTCACTCGCCTAAGTGCTTACATATTATTTTTTGATATAAAATAAGTATGACTATACGAGGAATACGTTTGCCTGTAGGAAATGTACGAATCATTTCTTGTTTAGAGGTATAGTTTCCAAACTCTTTCTTACATTACGCACCTAAGTTTAAGAGTCCTAAGCACGAAGTATATATTATTTAACTCTAAAGGTAAATAAAAAAAAGACTAGATTTTGCATATCTGAAAGTGGCGCGACACCAGTTCTAGTACAACATTCGACTAAGGACCCTTCCAACCTGGTTTCACTATTCCGTATTAGAATATTCTGAAATTAAGGGTTTAAGGGCTATATATATATAATTTCACTGTTTATTTGGATTTTTTTTCCTGAATATTTTTACAGGTATAATGCTTTTGCACTTTTATCGTATCTCGGAAGTCTGATCAACCTCAACACAGGAATGTCCTAGTGTCAGGACTAAGTGTCTGTACAATGATTCGCTATTGTTGAATAAATAGAAAGAATAATAAAGTTTTATTATTTATTTTAGTTTATGAACGAATCAGGACAAACAGATATATAATATACTAACAGACCGGCCAAGCGTTGCTGCGGCTAAGGTTTTTGTTATATTACATAGTAGCAAACTATTCAAGGGAAACGGTAGGAGAACACCAGACATGGGGACCACCATGCTTTTTTGGTGGTAATGTCATTAAATTGTAGCTTATGTGAAACGTTGGTACTTTCAACACAGCGCCATCTGTTAGAATTGTGACTATCAAATAATAAACAAATATTTTGCAATAAAATAATATTGCCGGTATAAATTGAGATCCTATCTTTTAAGTTGGATCAAACTACACACGGTGTGCAAATTTGATTGATATCGGTTCGGTAGTTTAGGAGTCCATAGAGGACAAACAACGTGACACGTAATTTTTATATAATAAGATTTATGAAAGATGTGACTTGTGTTCAAACTAGAGTCGTATAAAGATTCAAATTAAATATTTAATTAAAAAAACTTCACACCCGGCTTCAAAAGGGCAACGCCTTACGCTAACATAGTCACAGGTATCTAATATCTAAAGTCGTCGACTCAAGGTAGCCTGAATAAATTGTAATCTTATCAGGTGTTACTAAGATGGGATTTAAGTGTTTGTTTTATGTTCAAACAGTTTATCTAAATGCTAAGATACCCTACTAATGTTCCTCGTATACATAATTAAATGTTTGGTTCATTTCCGACATTTAATTATATTTAAAAGTTTCAGTTTTTACTGCTGGGTCACTGAGATTCCTAATGCGAGATACGGGGCGGAAAATTCTTTGTCCGTTTCGCTGATTGTTTATATTGATAAACCTTCTGAACTTGCATCCTAAACGAAACAATTTTATCGTCGGGAATCAAACCAATCCACCAACTAATACGTGTTTCTTTTCGTTACTAAGCCACTGAGATGATACATGCTGCAGGAATAAAATTTAAGACTATAATAAGATGCATTTGAAGACAGTAAAAATAATGTACATTAATTACCAAATAATGCGTTTAAATAAAAATAATATTATACACAAAACTTACTAACTGTCATTTATTGAAGACATTATTTTATTGAGTATTTAAAGAATTCAGTCTGAAGATTCTATTAATAATATTTAGTATTGCTACTCTTATAAAAAGTTATTACATAGTATCTTGTCATAATAAACAAGGAGAAAGTGATATTCGTTATCGTACTATTACTAAGAGTTTAATGTGTCCGATACGAGGTCAATGACCGGTCCGACCTACGCTACTGTCCACGCTGTAGTCTCCCACGATATTCCTGATATAAAGGTGGGCATAAAAACGTACTACTTTAATTAATATCATTAGAACAATTACTAAGAATTAAATGTACAGTGGGCGAATGAAGAATGATGTATGAGAAAATAAAATTAGTAAGTAACCTCACGAAAATAAAAATATTAAACTAAAATAATATAGATAGTGTCCCCTTTAAGTAAAAATTAGTTGTAATAATAAAGAAATAACAAAAAATATTTTAACGATAAGATTCCAAAATTAACAAATATTGAAAATATGGTTCTTTATTTACTTAATTCCTCTTTTATTGCGATTTTGTTTGAATGCTTGCATTACTGCACTGATTTGAAGTATTGTATGTAACAAGCTCACATAAAATTGTTCCTGTAAGAAGTACGAAGCTCCTTCTAATAACGAAAAAGGAAAATTACCACCAAGATCAAGGGACACTTTACCAAAACGGACTTCAATCACACTGAATTTAAAGACCACGTGTGCCAAGAGTACCTCATTTCAAACATTAAATATAACAAATGTATTATAAAGTTATCATATGTCAAGAAAGCCATAAAAAATTCTAATCTAGCATCAAGCGTAATCCTTTTAGCGTGAACCTATAACACAAAGGCACTCTGTCACTTTCATATCTTTTCAATTAGACGGAGATAAAATATGATAAATGTCGCCAGATGTTAGTTTAATACAAGGCTTGATAGTTCGTACAGATTATCTTAAATTCTACTTACGAGGATAAGTCTGTAGAAGGTAATTCAAATCTCATTTTATTGTCGAGTACGATCTTGATTGATTCTTTGTAGTGGATATAAGGTCTAATCTAATTAAAGACATAATTTAGTTTGATATTTTAATATTTAGACAATCAATTTACAAATATATTAGGCAATTTTCTGATTAATTATTGGACTTACTACAGTAATATTAAGAATTCCGTTCTTTATTTATTAAATTCGTTTGTTGGCTTCTTGCGGTATGAAGTACATCTGTCCTATTAATATTTTACGACCTTTACCTTGTAAAACAATCATAAGCAATACAATTCTAGTAGGATTATTAATAACAAGATTTAGTGTAGGAAGTGAATCTTCAAAATCGATCGGTAACGTACGGAAACCTGACAAGTACAATCCAATAATTGGATATTCATTATGACATTGAGTTTCTTTGTGTGCGTCACTGCTAACACATGTATGTGTTTGGACC